TTTTTTGTTTAAGCCTTCATGAAATTTGAAAAAAAAAATTATTTAAAGCAAGTTTCTAACATTTGTAACAATTAAAAAAAAATTTATTTAATAATATAAAATGAAAATGTGTAGCGTAATTCAAATTATATTAAATTGTATCATATTAATTATTAAATAAAAATTAGACATTCTGATATTAATACTTTTTCTCATTTATAATTTTTATTTTACAATTTAGTATATTTCAAATTATAAAATAAAATTTTTAATATTTAAACTATTTTTATTTCTATTTATTTACTAACCATTCTAGTATTTTGACAAATAAACATGAAACTAAATGAACTTTTTTTATTTAAAATTACAAAAATTTATAAAAACTAAAAACCAGCAAGTGGTTTAAGGTTAACATCCCCTCAAGAGAGAATGGGAAATAATGAAGATGAACTAAAATGTGGGTGCTATGGCAACATAAGCTTTGTAGACTCCCTAAATTTGAGCTGGTTTGGTATCCTTGCACATTGTTTCTCTGTAGACTGTAAGTCCTTAATGAAGCAAGGCTTTCCGGTTCCTGGTTAACAACTTACCACTGCATTAGTATAAGTTCCTGAGGAACCGCCAAGCTCAACCTCTTCATCACTTCATCCTTTTCTGGAGCATAACAGTAAAATTTACCATATCAACCAAAGAATAAAACTTTATCCCCACTCATTGAATAACCTAGAGGCCCGTTAAGATCGTCATTCAATACCATTAGTCTAATTTAATCCTAAACGGTTCTGCTAATGGCATTGGATACGGTTGCACCCTTCAACTCATCCAAGGTTCATAAATTAGTGTGCAGTTTGGCCCGGGAAGAATTCTCGCAAATCCTCTATCTCATGATCAAATGCAAGGATAGGATATGGCTTGTGGTGAGCATCAGCTCCATATGCAACCCAATGTAGAGCATTGTCGACATAAACAAGCACATTGGTATTAGGCAGTTCACACCTAGAATTAATGCTTTAATGCATGCTTTGATTCCCTATTGGAGATAGGTACATCATGGATATACAGACAAGCATCACTTCTCAGGCTATAAACTTTTACTTGGTGAAAATCACAGGAAAAATGATAAGGGAGACACTCCACTCACTCTCACCACCTTGTAATCATCATTAATTGATAAGAGTTCCATGACTAAGTTGGGGGGGACTTTTAATAATATGGTACTCTTTAGTGACAATGTTCCACAGAGCAACAACATCATTATTAAGACCACCAGCACCAGGGGTTAAGCAAACCAATCCATTGCATGAAGATAGTAACTTAAGACAATTACTGTATTTCTTCCCAGAAAACTCATGAGTAACAAATTTGCTCAGCAAATCCATACCTTCTAAAAACACAATCATGTTCCCTGTATTGTTGTAGCAAGGATCTTGGAGAAGAAGACATAAATCATTACTGGACTGTTTGAGATGAGATTTGATGAAATATGGGTCTTGTATCAAATAAGGCTATTTCCTTTTTCTTAAAAAATCATTGTATGTCTATCATTACTAGAGTATTTTGAGTGAAATATTCTGGCTTTTCTTAGTTTCAATCAACTTGGTGTTTTTTAGGAACAAAATTTTTTGTTCAAACACACATTTGAACAAGAAAAGGGACAAGGAACTTTGAAAAATGAAATGCAGTCTGCGCAAGACAGACTACAAAAACAAGATTGTTTATAAAAAGCATCAGGAAAAACAAACAAGATAAAAATGGAAAATTCTACAGACAACAAACAATTGTTAAAACAAACAAATATCATTGCTTCGTTCCGCCAAACTGTGAACAGCGCCGCCACCGAGATACTGCTTCACGGCATCTCTGATGTCGTCAAACCGATCACACCCCTGAAAAAATCCCACCAGCTTCTCCAATTCACTGTCTTTATCATCATCGAGAAACGGTATTATAGGAATCGCATTCTCCGGTTGGAGAGAGTACGAATTGGGATTGTCATCGACGATCACCACCCGCCTCAAATCCCTCCCCACCTCCGACAAGTCCTTGACGTACGTCCCATTTAAATTCCGGCACGAATGCCGGTAAAGCCGGTGTGAAATTAGCCCCTTCGGGTCAAGAACGTCCAGCACCTTCGACGCATACTGCTCCAGCCCCGCCGTGAAAACCACCACTTCGTACTTTTTGCTAATCTCCTCCAAGAATTTATCGACCCCGGGCCGCTTCAAGACGTAGAAATTCATAACCTGCCCTTCAATTACAGGCCGAACCACGAAATCATACCTCTTTTGAGGAAGATCAGTGGATGAATGCACCAGGGTCTCGTCCAGATCAAGAAATATGGTCCCCTTTTTTTCAGAAACCAGAGGAGGAAGCCGGAACTGATCCTCGTCGAAGAGAAGGGCTCGAGGCACAAGTAAGCTGGGTTTCAATTCGAGATCAAAATCCAGTCGAGACTCGGGATCAAACTCTGTTTCTTCCTGGGTTAGAATCTTAAATCCCCTGTGGCTGCGATTGGGGGTTCCAAAGCGGGACAATTTGTTGAAGAGCTTGATGAGGCGGCGGCGACAGGTAAGCAAAGACTTGTTAATCGATGAGATGAAAGAGACCGAGGCAGTCTTCTTGGACGACGATGACCTTTTCCGGTGATGGTGGCTGTGGCATCTTCGTTTCTGGCGTTTGACAGACTTTGGTGGGGTTCTCTTGATGATCTTGGACACCATTTCTGGATTGTGAAACAAGATCGGAGTTCGTATGACGATCAAGCAGAGGGAGAGAATCAGGCCAAGGAACATAGAAAAGAAGAGGAAAGAGAGAGAAATGGTAGTTTATTGGTGCCAGTGTGGAGGGGAGGTACGGATGGGTTTAAAATCAGGTTCGGCGTAACGGTCATGAAGTTAGCTTCGGAGCCGAAGCTGGATTTCTCGTTATCATACAGGGTTACATTGTGCTTTGGTTAGAGGCGCGTTTGGTTACAATTTTTTGCCTTGAAGGCATTCGTTAAGAT